ACGTTTCCCCTTGAATCCGTCTTCATTCACCTTCAAAGAGCTCTCAAAATGACCAACTATGGAGGAAATGAGCCCCAAACTCGCGGATGAAACGAATTAAAAACATTCTGCCCAGGTCTGACCTTCCTTCTTCGGGAACGCGGTCAATCCCTCGCGTTCACGAAGCACAAACTTACGTTGACCAACTTTTTCCCTATGCGAACGCGTAACACCCATCACGAATGCGATGCTTCTGCCTCCTACACCTTCGCAAACGTGCTCACCTCCACGCAAACGCGATAAACAAATGACCTCAAACCCCTCAGACCCAAATTACTCTACACGATCGCAAAGACCATCTCGTGAAGGTGATGCACTGCTTCCCAGTCTTCCGCAAATGCGAATCCCCTCTCACTAACACGAATGCTAAATTCTGGCCTTCCTCAATTCCTTCTACGCAAACGCGAGGTTCCACTCGCGAACACGAAGAGATAATTCTCTGCAACACTGAACCTGCAATTTCTGCAACTTACAAACTCCAAAAATGATCTGAATGACCACCCGAAACTCACCCGAGGCCCCTGGGACCTCAACCAAAGGCACCAACACATCCTAAAACCTTATTCAAACTTGTTCCAATCATCAAAACACCTCAAACAACATCAAATTACCCAAAACACATCGGATTCAAGCCTAAGTTTCCAAAATCTTCCGAAATACGCTTTTGATCAAAAACCCAACCAAACCACGTCCGAATGACCTGAAATTTTACACACACATCCAAAATGATACAACGGAACTACTGCAACACTCGAAATTTCATTCCGACCTTTATATCAAAATCTCACCTATCAACCGGAGAATGCCGAAATCTCAATTTCGACAATTCAAGCCTAAACCTTCCACTGACTTCCAAAATGCATACCGATCACGCTCCTAAGTCCCAAATCAACCAACGAGCTAGCCAAATCATAAAAATTCTGATCCGAGATCATATAAAAGCAAGTCAAATCTTGGTCCAACCTTTCTAATTTCAAGCTACAAACTGAGAATTGTTCTTCCAAATTCATTCAGATTTCCCTGAAAACCAAAACCAACTATTTATCTATGTCATAACATATCACACAGGTTAAGTCATGCTCGAGAACAGGCGAGCAAAGTGCAAAAGTTCAAAATGACCGGTCGGGTCGTTACATCCTCCCCCACTTAAACATATGTTCGTCCTCGAACGTGCCCAGAGTTGTTCCAAAAGACAACCAATTGCTGAATAACCTCACCATGCACATACCTGGGGTGATCCCACGTCACCCTATCTCACATAGGTTCAATAACACAATATAACTGAAATTTCACAATCCATCCTAGTCCATAAACCATAGAACCACTTTTCTACTTCAAAAATCATCAATACGATCAGAATCTCACATTTATACTGTGAATAAGTGCGAACAAGCTATAACAAACCATATCTGCTGTCTCAGGTGCAATCATATGATATACCACATAACTCAAATGCTTGTAGCGATAACTTCTAATCACAGCAGTTGCATACAACAATCGAATACCAATAGAAAACTCTTATCAACTAAAGTCTCATCCCAATACTTTCATATACTGCCAATGACCAATAAAACATGCGGTATGCCATAACTATTTCCCAGATCAACCATTCATGAAGCCACTTCTCCTTTGGCAAATACCACAACAAATTTCTGAGCTGAAGCTCGATATTATCCTTCCAACATGATGAAATCGACTCCATTCGCACTCATTAATGATCCCAACGATCTCCGCTAATCCAACACACTCCTCCAGTGACATGACATATCAATGTAGGCCTAAGCCACAACTTGCACAATACGCGCACCAATAAGCAATAGTCCGAACATACTCAAACCATGAAAAATGACTCAAATGAGAGAGTTGTACCCCAAGTTCACTAGTACCACCACAATTCAAGACTGAGAACCCGTCTCACATCATAGGAACAGAATATACGAATATAACCCGCAAGGTCATACCTCCGCTAATCTTCGATGCAATGCGCGATCCTATCCAACACTGCTCTACATGAACCACCTCAAGTCACTTTGCTCGAAATTGACAACCATGCATGATTTGATGTCTGGAACGAAAGCAAATCGTCATACTCACGGTAGAGAAAATAACCTACACCACACAAACCCGAAAAGACATAGCCGATACACCATTCACCGAGCAACACCCAATTTCTCTTCCCACTCGACTTATACTATTAAACCCCAATAGAACCGCACCATAGGTGCCTATAACCAACAAATCATAACATGTCGCAACATAGAAAAATAGCTCATAGATCTCCCCAGATTACTAATAGGCTCAATAACAATCGAATCAACACATCCCTCAACAATACAATTTGGCGCCAACCAAGCTGACTCAAGTTAGAACACGCATCCACATTGGCCTACCAATGAACTCTCTATCAAGGAAATCCTGAAGCTGTTCCTTTAAATTCTTAACTCTGCCGGTGCCATACAATACGGTGCCCAGTACCAAATCAATACCGAAATCAACAACCTTGCCCGACGACATGCCCTGCCACAAGAAACACATCCGAAAAGTCACTCACCACCGGAACTGAATCAATATGAGAAGCCTCTACACTGACACCCATCACAAGAGCCCAAATAAGAAAGACAATCCTTCCCAGCCGTCCGCTGGGTCTTCGAAATATAAAAACTACTCTAATAGGACATAATCCGTCAAACCTCGCCACTCAATCCGTGGCTTTTCCGGCATAGCCAACAACGCCTCCTTAGCATAATAGTCCAGAATGACACAACACAGAGACAACCGGTCTGAACCCAATATCATATCCAAAATCTAACATACCCAGCACAAAAAATTCGCTCGGGTCTCCAAACCCCGATAGTCACTAAACAGTGCTGATACACGCGATCCACAACCACAACATAGCCTAAACATGAGAACTCCCAGTCTCCCACTCCATATAGCACACGGATCATCATACCTGATCCCAATTTCGCCGTCCGAATGCATACCACACCTTAAATACCCAATCATTCCATGAGAGATACTCTAAAATTCCCCTGTGCCACCAAGCAAACTCAAATATCAGCAGTTTTATCTAATAAGAAAGTGATGCAATACTACCGAAGCACCATCAACTTAATCACATTGCCTTTTCTGAAACACATACCCTCGTCAAATCACCCCAATTAGCATTACCACTTCCTTAATCATCTGAAGATCATCCCCCTAATCATCTGAAGCTCATTCCTCTAATCATCTGAAACTGCACGTGCTGCTTAAGAATTTATGACTTTCCTGTTCAGAACTGAACCGTAACCTTCCACACACAACTCTCAATCCTCCACAACCTACCGCATATATCGTATCATCTTTGGATAACATGAGAACTTCATCTTCCTTCTGAACCACAAATATCTACGTACTCAACTAGTCAAGAACTTTGCATTGATCCCATATAGAAGAAAATCACTATACATCCCATGCTCCTCATGCCCACAGAAAATATACATCTCCAACCGAGGTAGAAACCACCAAGAACTTTCTGACTCCCCTTTGCATAAACAAGTCTATCAGGACTGAATCTTCCTAACTCAAGCAACCTATGCATGCCACTAAACCCAAGAGCATTGCCGCGAAATACCCGTAGAAACTTATTACCTCATAAACACTCAAGGAATTAATCATATCCTTACCGTACCGATCCGTCCTGCTACCAAGCTATCCTATCTATCTGAGTTTCCTTCTGGTTTATCTTCAACCTGATATTCCTTCTTGCTGTAGCACCACAATTCCTCAACCCAGACTTACCACACGAAGCCCAAGCATAAAACCACACTGTCTAAGGCTCATAAGCGCTAAATACTCCTTAAATATTTCCAAAAGCACCACATTTAACATACTTTACTCTGAAGAACTTCTTGCGAATCTAAATCTGTTACCTTTACCTTCCTGGTACTGATACATAGAATCTCATAATTATTATAGAAAACACCACAAGTCTTGATATTTTCCAATGAAAACTCAGTCCTTAGCCACATATACAACTTTAAAATACGACATTGTTACATTTAGAATCTTGAACACATTGGAACCATTCTCGAGAGTCATTCACTCTATTCAAACTGCAATTAGCCTGATCAAACGAACTGAATTCGTGCCTCGTTGGCACTCTGACAGTGCAGAATGAGACATCATCCCATTACAACCAAGCAACTTCTTGCCCTATGCACCGAGCATCCTTTACCAATGACAACTTATGACATTCCGTGATTCTCACACACCTGTGAAGCATCTTATAACCTTTGTTTAAAAAATTCCTTTACTCGAGCCATCATCGGTCTCAATCTCCGTAGGCCATAACTGATTCACCTAAACGTCTCAAACTGGAACCGACATAGCACATAACCGTGCAATCAACGACTCAATAGAAGACTCCCCTACTTGGCTTGAAGCCATAGGTCAAAACACACTCAATAACTCATAACGCGTGTAGACATGTGATTTTTGACCCTCCCCAAGATTTTTTATATATTAGCGTAAAATATTTAATTTAGGCATAATATAGATATTTTAAGTAATTTTTGACTCTTTTACTCTATTTTACTAGAAGAAAACAAAATTTACAAAAATAGGTTCACTAATGTTTCGTAGTCATTTTTAATCTTAAAAAACAACATATACAACAATAGTATCGTAATTTTATTTTAATATAATATTTGAAAATACCAAAAATAGATTTGTTTTAATGATTAGTTTTATTTTAATAATTATTTGAATAGTAGTAATAATTAATAAATGGGCCCGTATTTTTAATCTCGTTCGCAACGAAAGAATAGAACTTGAGCTCGAGCAACTCATTTTAGGCTTAATTTTGGACCTAGCCCACAATTGTCAAGCCCATAATTCCTAGGCTCATACTCCTTAACCTAAAAATCCTACCAAAAACCTACAATATAAAAAGACAAAAAGAGGGGAAGGCTAAAAAACAAAAAAGCAAGAGAAGCCAGCGCAGCATACACGGACCCCCCTCATCGGATTCATCTTCTCCTTCACTTGGAGGAATGAAAACCGGAACCAGCCGCAACAATGCAAAGAGGAGACCCCTCTCTGAAATTCATCTTCTTGGTCATCCCCCCAAGCACGCATGAACTTTGAAAATTGCAGACCCTTACTCCATCTCCACTAGTTTTTTTCAAGAGTTTTGTTTCAAGTTTTAGATTTCTTCTTCGGGTTTCTGATTTCAGAACGATGGAATTAATCGAAGTTTGGAGCCATTTCCGAGTTCGGATCGTTGGAGGTTGCCGTTGAAGGTTTAAGTCTGAAAATCTGATTCGATTTTTGACGATTCTGTTTGAAGCCGCGTCGATGTCCGACTGTAATTGTTGCTTCATGTACTGCGTATAAACTTCAGGTTCATCTTTGCAACGTTGGTTTATCTCTTCCAGATTTAATCGGTTCATGTGGATGTTCAATGTAGTCTTTGTTTCAGCAAGTTTGAATGTGTATGTGATTAAGAAGATGTTAGTATTAATTAGTCGCTTCATTTCTTTCTCTGATTTGCCTCTTACCTTGTGGTGTCATTGTTGGGTGGATTAGATGCATGTGAAATTAGAACAAATGTCCGATTTCTCTTTTCTTACGGTGTTACTAGATATTGCTATCATTTTTTCCTCCTGTTAGTTCGGAATTAAAGTGTTTGGGTGTTTAATTGTTGGGGTGTTAAAAGGCTGTAACGCATAGCTACAGATCTGGATAATCGTATTTCTCATTTTCTTAAACTTTGTTTTGCTTTACAATGTGCTTCCATTAATTTGTCGTTCTCTGTTTGGTGATGTGCTTGGGTTGAAGTTTTATTGTTTTGATTTGAGGATGGTTGACTTCTCATTTCCTTCCATTCTTATTTGCTGAACCTCGCACCCTTATGATAATATGATATCTTTGTACTTTTGGGTGGTAGCATCCATACTTTTGGAGGAAAGATTACTAGAAGATGTCATCATTATAAAGCCTATATGTAAGTTTTTTTAACAAGGTAATGTATGCAGTCTTATAGAAAACTAGAGATATTAATTTGTACAAGAGTAAATGGAGAACAATGATAGGGTAAGGAGAGTGCGTATAGGATGGGATGAGTTTTATGAGAGGCAAGTTAGCAAGTTAAAATAGTTTGTAAAATCTCAAATGAGATGAAGCGAGTTGCGGGTTAAATGTTTTAGAATATTGACCAATTGTTTGAATTCGAGTGCTCTGTTTGTTGATGGTATGGGTTACTACATCACTATTTTGTTTTGAATGTCTTGATAATATTCACTTTATTAGTAATTCTTGTTTGCATGTTGCTTAGCAAATAATTTGTTCGGATGGGGTTTCGCCACTTCGTTAAGAGACAATTGCTTAAGGCTTCCCAGCACCAGATTTGTGGGAGTTAACTTGCAAAACGTGAAGAAGTTGGACTTGGATTCTAGATGAGGTAAAGTAGAATTGAGGTTAAGTTCGCGTTCTTGTCTTAATATAAATAAAAAATACCATCGTGATTGTGTATACGTTCGCGTAACATAATTACGATTCTAAAACCAATTCGGAGTATGCGTTCGCGCAACTCCAAACAAGCTTTCTTAATAATAAATTGAGTATCATGGCTTTATATATCCGGGGGTGAATTTCATGTGACCCGGCTCTAATTACAATAAGGTTAAATAGAATGTGTCGTGAACCGCGGGTGCATTTCATGTGGCATAGCTTGCGATATGTTTTAAATAACCTTGAATTAACTTTTTAAATATTTAAAAGAGGTAAAGGGTAGATGCACATGGATTCTAAAACGAGTAATTGAACAATTTAATAAGCCAAGTATGATCAAAGTGACCGTGCTAGAACCACGGAACTCGGGAGTGCCTAACACCTTCTCCCGGGTTAACAGAATTCCTTACCCGAATTTCTGTGCTCGCAGGCCGTAAATAGAGTCAACTTTCCTCGATTCGGGATTTTATACCAGTGACTTGGGACACCATAAATTATCCCAAGTGGCAACTCTGAATCTTTAAATAAAGAAATCCCGTTTCGATTGTCTTTTAATTGGAAAAACTCCCTTGTATTTATACCCTCTATGGGGTGTAAGTAAAAATGAGGTGTGATAGTTCTGGCGACTCTGCTGGGGATCAAACCCAGAATCTCTGGTTCAGGGTTCAAGAATTCGAGTTTGTTAATGATTTTCACTTGGCTTCATTTATTGCTAATATTACTGTATTTTGTGAATTTTTTGTACTAAATGTCATTTGTTTACTTCTCTATTATTGTTTGAATTGTATATTACTGTCTTCTTACGCCACCCCTCTAAGTCTTCTGGAAATAGTGCATACGTTCGCGTAGCCTGCTTTTTCTATAGAAATTATACCAAACAGAATGAGGCTGGGAAAGCAGCAAGGCCGGGTAGACTTCAGTGCTCCCGGTACGTCGCCCCCTCCTCGGCCCCAATTGTCCGCTCAGGTACCCCAAGTCTAGACCAAAACCCCAGGATTTAAACCTAGAATAATACAGCCTCATGCCGGATCCCCGGTAGGAACGTTTGTTTGCATCATGTGCATTTGACTTAAGGGACTCAACATAGGGGTTGGGTTCGTCTAGGACAGGTGTACCCAAAATAACAGACCATTTTATGCATCCTATGTGCTACATGTTGCATTTATTCAAGGGTAAAGGCTCATTTGGCGGACCAATGATAACTGAGAGTAAATGAAGAAGTGAAAAAAAGAAAAAAAGGGGGAAAAACAATGAAAAAAGAAAGAAGAAAGAAAAACAAATTGAAGGGAAGTGTGAAAATAATGCAAGTAGGATCTAGTTATGTTTTTTTGTTACATTTGTAAGGAAAAAGACAAAAAAAAACATGAAAAATTCAAAAAAAGATTTTGTACTTTTTCATCATTTTTTAAAAATAAAAAAAAAAAAGAGAAAAATAAAATCCAAAGAGATTTTGCATGTTTCGTCATTTTTCAAGAAAAATCAAGAAAAAATGTGATTTCTATGAATTAATGGGTTTTTTTATTATTCTCACCCGTATCCAATTTGCTCGAACTACGCGAACCTGATTCTCGTCTCTCGGGGCGGGATACGTAGGCAACCCACATAGGGTTCGGTCTTCCTAGTAAATCTTAAGTTCTTGGCTTTGCGGGGTCTTAGCCAAATTTTGTACTTCTAGCCACCTTTTGGCCAAATAAGTCATTTTGCAAAAATAGTTCCAATTATGAGTATTATTATTTCACATAGTGTTGGTTAAAGTTTTCTCATACATGTGTGGATTTATTTACAGAAGTTTGAGCATGACAGACACTATCCGGTCAGGATCGCTCAGTCAGGAGTTGCTTAAGGAGATTTGTTTTATTTTTATATTTTGAGTCTGTTCTTCATTTTATGTCGTCTTTTACTTTCTAGTTTTGTACAGTAATGTCAAGTCTTTTGTTATTGTATTTTCTGCTTTATATTTGAAAAAATGTGTTGTAACTCAAAATCCAAAAAAAGAGATGTTGCATTTATATTTCCGTTATAAGTTTTCTTTAGAATGCTAATTCTAGAAATGAAAAAAAAATCGAGGTTGTTTTTCCTTTAGGCAATTAATATCTAGGATTTAAAATGAATTGTTTTTATGTTTCCTTTAGTATATTAGGACCAAAATTAAAAAAAAGAGAGAATTTTATTTTAGTACTTCTTTAAAAGCTTTCTTTAAGGTGTTAATTCCAAAATCCAAAAAGATTTTCTTTTGAGGTGTTTCTTTGGGAAATTAGTGAAAAATAAAAAAAAAATCTTTTTATTTTCATTAGAACTTTAGGATATTGTACATAGAAAAATACTTTATCTTTTGTCTATCATTAGAATTTCCCTTTTAGGTAATCAAAAACTAAAATCCAAAAATATCTTTTATCTTGTTCATTTCTCGCTTCGAAATCCTTCTTTAGGGATATCAAATGCAAGTTCAAAAAAAGATTCTCTTCTAGGGTTTGTTCCTTAATAATTTCCGCAGAGTATTTGTTTCAAAAAGAAAAAAAATTCAAAAAGAGGTTTGCTTCTTTTATTTCTCCTTTCTCATCAGATTGTCAAAAAAGGGAAAAAAGAGAACGTTGGTTTGTTTACTTTATTTTCGATCTTCCCGAACTACGTAAAGATCTGATTCATGCAGCGTCATGATACGTAGGCAACCTACATAGGGTTCAATCAAATTATTTTTTTTATTATTAAAAGAAAAAAAGAGAAAAAGGGGAAAAAAAGAAGAAAAAAAAAGAGGTGAAATTATGGGATGTGAGAATTGGGAAGATAGAAAAGAGCGACACTCAGAAAGAAAAGGGGAAAGGAAAATGAGCGAGCTAAGAAGTGCTAAAAAAATAAAGAGAGGTTGAAATAAACAAATTGGGATGATGCCAACTGACCTTTGTACCCATCGAAGTCCTTTTAGAACCGATAACTGTGGCTAGGTGCATTGCACATAAAGTGAGATTATCTTATGTTAAATGTCCTAACGCTAACGTGATGGCTTCATTTTGTTATATTCATAGCAGAATGGTGGTTGGTTTGTGGTTTTTAAAGTGGTAACTCTTCTCTACAACACAAAGTCAAAAGGCAATGGCAGACAACAACAGAACTGAGTTGGTTGATACTGGTGCCTAGAAGCAGTCGGTTGAACAGGACAATGAGTTGGTTGAAGAGGTAAAGATGTTAAAACAACACATGGCGGACATGTATCAGGCCTGGATGACTGGGAAGGCACCACCCCCGCCACCACCTAGCTTCATAAATGCTACCCTTACCCAAACACCGGTCCCAGTGCCAGATGATCCCCCATACTCTCCAAATCCACCCGCTTATCATGGCTTTCCCAACCACCCTAGTAGCTCTGTCACTCATCTTCCAATTACCTTTCCCAAAAATTGTCCTCCTGTCTTATCCACCATCCCCAACAATGAACACCCACTCAAAGCTTACGATGCCCAATAGTACCCCTCAAAGGTTGCCCACAAGGTTCCTAACTCATACAAGCAGGTCCCGCGGGATGAACCTCATGTTGAAAATGAAAAGTTCATAGGAAGAAAAGGGTGAAATGGGATACCTAGGAGGCCGAAAGGCATAGAACAATCCTTAAATAACAAGTAAGGAATGAGAGATCAGGGTAGCATGTATTACAAAGAATTGTCTATGTCCCCCGGCGTTTGTCTGCTTGCGGGGTTTAAAGTGCCAAAGTTTAAATTATATGATGGGTGTGGGGATCCGGTAGCCCATTTGAGGGATTATTGCAGTAAAATGAGAAGTGTTGGCGAGAAAGATGATTTGTTGATGGCGTACTTCAGTGAGAGCCTGACTGGGGTAGATTTGGAATGGCATAATCGTCAAGATGTTGGTAAGTGGCCTACATTGGGTGACATGACTCAAGATTTTGTTCGATACTTTTAATACAGATCAGGTGTTGTCCCAGACCGCTCCTCCCTATCTCAAATAAAAAAGAAACCCAAGAAACATTTTAGGGATTTTTGGCTCAGATGGAATGAACAAATTGCTCGGGATAGTCCTCCCATTGATAGAAAATATGTTGGTGAGCCCCGCCAACGACAGGGTCCAGTGGTCGTTCTTGCTAAACGCTTTCAGCCTCAATGTCGGCCTCATGGATATGCTTGTAATCCTCCCCAATGCTATTTCTCCCCACAGAACTCCCAAAGTCGTACATCACTTTCCCAGTACCCCGTCCACAATGCACTATCACTTTCCCAGTACCCTGTCCACAATGCACTACCATATGCTCCACACCCACAAGGCCCGCGATGGCCCACACCACTTCCCCAAATGTCTTACCCGCCCTCACGAGCCTGCCAAAACCCCCTAAATCAGGTTTTCGGCCCAATCAAGCATTTAAGAATGAGAGGTTGCTGAAAAAAGAAAAGGCTTTCACCCCTATTGGAGAATCATATGCTAGTTTGTTCCAAAAGTTGAAGCACTTGGACATGTTGAAGCCGATTCATATAAAAATGCCAAACCCTCTGTCAAAGAAGTTTGATTTTTCTCAAAGGTGCGCATATTGCTCAGATGCCCCGGGGCATGACATAGAGAAGTGTTGGAATCTGAAGAAAGCAATTCAGAAGCTTATTGATGTAGGCGACATTGTCGTACAAAATCCAGATGCAGCAAACACTAGCCAAAGTCCATCGCCTGTGCATAATGAGACACATATGGTGGGTATGGTTTATTCTGAAAAGGAATGTGATAATTCTTCTGGGAGCTTTGGAGGTCCACGTGCTACTAAGCTTTCAGCGCTATTAGGGGTTGATCTTAAGAACGAGCTGGCAAAAGGAACCCAAAAGCAATTTGTTAAGAATAATGTGATGAAGACTTGTGAAGGTCCTAGTATTGCTGATGTAGAATTCAGTGGCTAAGATTCCATGCTTGGTAATTGGAAATACGCTCCAGTTCTTGGTCAGCCGGAGAGGAGATTTTGGTGGTTTAGTTTGTCGTCATTTCTGTTGTCCGGGTTATTGCAGGGTTGTAATCCGGACATCGTCTTGTGACTCAAATCCTTCTATCCTTTATTTTGTCTAGTTCTTTTAGTCATATTATCTCACTTAGTGTTTTGTAGGTTTGTTCTAGGTTTGTAACCCCAGTCTAGTTTGTCTATTTTGTTATCCAAACCCTTTCACCATCTGTCTAATGCAAGTTTCTATTTTCTATTATTTCTAGTCATTTTTGTTTAGTTCTCTTTTCCTTTTATAGTCCTTTTCCTGTTGATTCTAGTGACGTGATATGCACGCGTAATTCTTAGCCTGGTTTTAAAAGTCACTTTAATCACGAAGCAATGAAACAATGTTGAAGATGTAGGGACACTTGAGAGAAATAAGTAAAGGCATTTTGAGATCACTTCAAGCCCGAATTGTGTGAAACTGGGGCAGATAGAACATAAAGAACCCCGATTGAAATGCATCATGCCGCATCAATTTGAAGATAAAAGCAAGTTTGCCCCAAATTTGTAGGGGGCCGTTCGTGGTAATGAGAGTGAGAGTGTTGTCCAATGGTACTTTGTATATAACAAATGTAGAAGGCGAATGTGTTGGTACGATCATCAAGTCTGGCGCAACCAAAAGATGTTACGAATGTTTTCCTTGGTTTGTTTAATTGTGCTATTTGTACTTGGCATGTTTTGAAGGTTTGAATGATGAAGACATTTTGTTCTGCTATCTAAACACTTTATCCCTCATCATCCCTTTTGAGCCTTATTTATTTTCTTTCATACCCCTCTTTCGGAATCAGTAGCGAATATCAGAAACACAAGCATGAAAGATAAGAAAAGGAAGAAAGAAAGAGAGAAAGAAAAGGAAAGGGAAAGAAAGAAAGAAAAAGAGAAAAAAAAAAAGAAAAAAGAAGAAAAGAGAAAAGAAGAAGAAAAACAATAAAAAGAAAAAGATAAAAAAAAACAGAAGAAAGAGAAAAGAAAAAAAAAACACAACAACAAAGTAATTTTTATGACATGAACTACGTTCGACCTGATTCCTTTAAAGGATACGTAGGCAGCCTCATGGTTCAGTCCCATCAAAAGAAAATCCAAAAGTCCTCAAGCAAGAAACTGGGGCAGAAGTTGTGGTTGTTGTAAAAATCTGGTTCCAAAAGTTGTAATTTTGAACCCATGTGAATTGTTTTGAGCCTCGGATATCCTTTCTTTTTAACCCTATCCAAAAGCCCACGTTACGGTCCAAAGAAAGACCTTCCGATCAGTCTTCGAGAGACTCCAAGTCAAGAAAGTGGAGGTGATTCATATCAAGGGCAACACTCTGGTCCAAGCGGAAAAAATAATGAAAATGAGAGAGTCTTATTGGTGAAAACCCTTACGGGCACCGTAAGGCGACAGGAGCTGAGAGAAGTTTAAAATGAGAGAGTCCTATTGGCTAAAACCCTCACGGGCACGGCATGACAACGGTAAGTTGAGAGGAAGAACAAAATGAGAGAGGCTTGATGGTAAAAACCCTTCGGGCACTACAAGTCGAATAAGGATTGTGAATTAGATTGGATAATCGGAGCATGGAAGCCTAGTTTCACGGTTCAGAGGTATAACAAGAGTTGAACATCAGATTTGTTTGATAGAATAGGCCACATGTGCATGTCATGGTCATTAGAGTTGGTATCCACATCTGATAGGTTTCTACTTTGTAGTTTTCTTGTTAGGAATCACCTCTTTCCCTTGTCCTTTACTCCGTTCCTTGTGTCTTGTTTACTTCCTCTTCCTGAGTATGTTTGGTCAGAACAAGTGAGAAATGACTTCAAAATTTGCCACCAGCTTTCCAATTGCACAAAACGAGATCTGGCTAGCACGTCACAGTGTCATAGGTCAGGAAAGAGCAACAAACACACTGAGTTGGTAATGACCAACATGCTTTGGGGTCCATCA